ACAAACATAGCAAAGAGGAAAGCAAATAGGGAGACGTACAGGTTGAGAGGGACGAGTCTAGGTGGCAGCCGGGAATTTGCGTAGTGGTATGCCTTTGCAAAGTAGTTCGTCTTGTGGGAGGCTGAGGTGGAAGAGCGCAGAAAGCTGCGTCCGGAGCTGGTCTTGGAGGCCGCATCAGGGCCGGCCGGGCCAGCATCAACATCTAGATCTGCCACCGGTCAGTAACAGCATATTCTTAGCAAACAAGAGCGGCGGTGAATAAACATACAGAGGTCTCTCTCGCGGCCGCTAAAGACCTGCATGTCCATATGGTTGATGACCTCGTCCAGCTTGTCCGAGAGCATGTCTGTCAGGTCTATCGACACATCCGAGGCCTGTCCAACGTCCGTGGTAGCGCTGCCGCCCCTGCTGAGCCGCGAGGGCTGCGAGACGGCTGTCGCACTACCCATAGACCGAGTCCCCCGCCTGTGGCCGGCGCTCTTTAGCGAGCGAGGCAGCGAGGCCAGCGAGGCCGGGTAGCTGTCCCTGTCCTCCCGGGGCGCCGCGGCCACATAGGGCGGAGAGGTTGGCGGCGAGGGCGGCAGACGGGGCGCACTGTAGCTGTTGAACTCGTAGCTGTAGTCATTTGGGCTGAAGGGGTATTGTTCGTGGCGTTCTTGATGGTGATGAAGGTGGTGGTGGTGGTGGTGGTGATGCTGGCCGCGCAGGTCGAAGTAGGACTGCTCGACGGCAAGGTTGACGTCCGGCGCAGGGCCTGGCACGGCCGCATAGTCTGGATAGTCGCGCGGCGCCATCTGGGGATATATCTCTGCGTGGTCTGGGGCTTGCTTTGCGTCTCTGGCGTGGTCGTGGTGATGCTCATGGCCGTGCTGGTGATAGTAGGCTGGCGGGAAGGGCAGCGGAGGGCTGATAGGCAGCGACTTGACCGAGGGCGCCGGCCGGTGCTTGCGAGAGAGCATCATGGAGGCGACGGAGCTGGCGGCAGGGCAGCAGACAGTCCATCAGCGGGCTGGCGAGGCCGGGACATAAGACGGTCTTCGGTGGTGAAGGTGGTGTGGTTGGTTGGTGGTGAAGATGGGATGTTGTTCAATTTTATACGGAGGTGAAGGTGAGAGAAGCGAGAAAACAGGCTGAGCGAAGGATGCGCCAGTGACAGCGAGGCCTGCAACGATGGGCTGGCGATGTAGCTATAGCAGACGGGCGACGAGGATACCGATGCAGAATCGCAGGATAGCAGGACAGACGACGGGCAGAAGATGGAGTACGCCGGTTCTCTATTAATATCTTCCCTGTCCACAGGGATCAGAGGCCGCCGCGCCGCAGGAAAGGGGGAATATTGGTAGCCGCAGCCGCAGCCGCAGACGCAGACGCAGGGCGGGAGAAGAAGATATAGATCGGCAGAGAGAGTGTAGTAGACAGAGGGGCGTATAGTTACAATAGACACAGGTCGATCCATGTATATATATTTGCTTGATTATGCGTTGAGTCTATAGCAGATACACTCGTGCATCCCTGGCCTTGCATGCACTCTATATAGACCAGACCGTTGAAGATGGAGTAGAAAAACAATAAGAAAAGGAAAAAGAAGACGAGGAAGAGAAGAATTAAAGATGTAGATGTTAGGAAGCGGACGTCCTGCAGGACGCTCGCGCGAGCCTGTACCAGCGCGGTGATCTCCAGGATGAACTCGTACAGGATCACGACGTTGGTCAGGGATATGGTTCAGCGAAGCCCCGTCCTCTTTCTCGCTGGCCTCTTCGGTCCTCCCCGGCTTCAGATGGAGCAGTACTTGGAGCCCGGGAGTCTCGTGGACGACCTGTAGGAGAAGA